TCTCCTTGAAAGAAAGCATGGCACTTCTTCTGAAAAAACTTGAATACCCTTTACCCAAGGATGCTTTGTGGCAAGTTTGGTTGAAATTGGTCCAGTGGTTCTGGAGAATAAGTCGAAAATGTGAAAAGTTTACAGACACCAGACGACAAACACTGGGTCGCCCGCATGGCCTAGTGGTTAGAGTGCTTGCTCCAGAGTCACAGTATAAGGGTCACGGGTTCAAATCCACTGCGGGATGTGGAGACCAGTCCTTCAGACGAGACCATATAAACCGAGGTCCCGTGTCACAGTAGGTGTTGGCACGAAAAAGATCCCTCCATGCTCAATGGCCCTGAGTGCCTAGTATAGGTATAAATTTGCAGCCCTCCATCAGCAAGTGGTGGCTTCTCAATATGAGTGAGAAATTCTCAAGAGGGATGTTAAACAACAAACAAACACCAAACACTCTTAATTAGATCAGAAAAGCTCACTTGATCCTTCAGCTCAGGTGAGCTACAAAGGAGTGAAGACCCACTCATATGAAAAAATTGTGTTAGAGTATGAAGAAATGATCAGCATTTTTGCCCTCTATGGTATGTGTTTGCTACTTCTAGACAAATAATTACAATCTTTGTGAGATTTTCTGTAAATTTTGGAGATTTTACATATAGTATATGTTAATGTTTGATGAAATATCAAGGAGAATTTTGTTATAATTGAGATTTAATTTTTCACCTTCGTATTTGTCACACCATCGTCATTTTGCTCGCTCATCTTCTTAAATTGCATTTTATGTTTTATGAATGCTGAACTCTGCTCCACCTAGCCTATTAAAACATCTAAATATTTATTAGCATGTATTTTAGAGTGAAAACTTTAAAATTGCAACCATCTTTTATCTTAGTAAGACAGACATTCTACACTGTGGTTGTTGATCGAAATACGAAAAGAAAAATTAATTAAAATATTTCATACAATAGCAAATTGATTTTAATAATTTTATACCAAATTCATTTTGAAAACAAGATCTGGGGAATGGTCATCTAGAAGTGTGAGGGTGTTCATCCCTTGATGCATCATCCATGCAAGTTAGGTTCAGATAGGCCTTATAGTTTCTTGGTAATGGACCTGCTAAATAAACTTTAACCTAATTACTCATCTGGAAAATATAGGTCAAATTCAGCATCTGAAGCAACTCTGGTAGTGTGCATCAATAAATGTATCTTCAGTGCAAAGTTGGTTAGCATAGGGCTTAAAGTCACTTTAGAAAGAAACTGCTCCAAAAACTTTAACCTAGTCGCTCATCTGGTAGTGTGCATCAATAAATGTATCATCCATGCAAGTTTTGTCAATATAGGTCTTAAAATTAGTGTTACTTGGAAATGAGACCTGCTTTAAAAACTTAAGCCTGCTCCAAAAACATTAACCTTGTCATTCTTCAGCTGAAATTGCAGCATCTGAAACTTGACAGGTACAATGAAATATACTACAAGCATCTTCCCTGCATCTCTGATCAATATACGGCATAGAGGTACTTGAAAAGAAATCTGCTCCAAAAACTTTAACCTGGGATGCCTACGCCATAATAATACATAAGCCTCAGAACTGAGAGAACTTGAGAAGTGTTACTGGCTGACTTGATATTAGGCTTACATATTACTTGGGAGAATGGCTTTTGTAGAATACCTGGTTTACTGATCTCGAGACCTTTGAACTTTGACCTACTTTCCAAAATACACCAGTGCTGATATAAACTTTGATCCTTTATTGGGCTCCCAGTCTATCCCTGGGGGTCATGATTTGAGCAAACTTTAATCTGCATTATATAAGGATACTTGCAAACAAGATGTAAGGTTATCTTCCTAACAAACACTTGCTAGGAAGGTTAAGGTTATAGGTTATCTTCCTAGCAAATACTTGTCCATATAAAAGAGATCTAAAATTATCCTTTACCTCATTACTTTATATCCTATATTCACATTAGATGAACGATCCCTTATTGTAGCCCTACAATCCCCATGGGCCATAATTTGAAAAGAATTGAATCTGCATTGTCTGAGAATGCTCTCATATTGTTACCACTTATCATGGCCCTGCTTTTCAGTTTGAGAGAAGATTTTTCTGACATATTCCTGAATAAAGCTTTTATTCTTCAAGAATATTGCCACTCCAACTCTACCCTGGAGATATATTCAAACTGCCCTACTTGAGGATTCTTGCATATTATTTAATATCACTTATAGTCCTGATGTTAATAATGTCTCGGTTTAAAAGATGTGTGAAAGTTGGTCAATATATGGGGTCTCACTTGCTCAGTGGTTAGAGCCACGGTACATGTATGCCAAAGACCCTGGGTTGAGTCCCTCTTGAAACTTGATTTTTCACCACCTGTTACATTTGGCACCCAATATGATAAGAATATTTAAAAAAAAAAAATCCTGAATTTTCCTGTATATTCCTCTATGAGATCTTTCATATGCACCTACCATCCTGGGCATGATCTGAACAGAGTTGAATCCATACTACTGGTAGTGGTACCTGATGATGTTTGCAAATCAGTATGACTAACTGTTGCTCTGCTATTTCTTGATATATTTTTTTCTTAAATATGTAACAGGAAAGGAGAAAAATCTGACAGACCAGACAGGGATTCAAACCCGGGTCCCCTGAATCTCCAGTCAGAAGTTTTACCAACTGAGCTATCGAACCCACCTGACCTCCACAAATATTTCTACTATTGAATTAAAATAAAAATATTCTTTTGGATGTTTTCAACAGTTTAAATTTTTTCAAGGTAAGGGGCTGACATAGGGCTGGTGATTCATAACCAGTTTCTTTTGTGCTAAGCAGATGAAGATCATAGAGTTAGAGAATCCCTATGGAAGGGACATAGATCATCAGAGGTCTATTACTTCCAACTTTCAGTATACTGGTACTCATTTTCAGCTGGGTGAACTGAGACAAATAAGACATAAGAAGCTTTAATTAATCAAGATGTTCAATTCCTAATTGGACAAAATTCTCTATCTTTAAATATCGATCTGATATAAAATACTCTTGCATTCATCTAAAGTAGGGATTGATATGAGGAGAGAATTTTCAAAAATGTTACTACCTCATAAAGATAAACTCATTTTAATCAATATACCCCTGTAATCTTAAATACAGGTACTAAGAATACAAACAAATGTTGTAGTGAAAAAAAAGTAATTTAATTATTAAATTAGGAATAACACTACAGTTAAACTACTGGATAATGACTCCCATCATCAGTTTGATTAAGTGCATCAGATTTAACAATTTATGGGAGAAGAGACTGCATCGAACCATTTAATTATTAACATTTTACATTTTCAGGCAAAATTTATTTATTGTATCTGTATTCTTTTTGTGCCCTTTCTTTTACTTTTTTTCCCTGCTTTTGATTTCTACTTTTAAGACATTGGTTGTAATAAATTATCATCTTAAGCACCATGTTTCTAACAGAAATTTTACAATCAAAATGTCGCTTTGTTAAATTAAGCTGTTTTAAATAAACAATATTAGTCTGGATATCAAATGTTCATCAAATCCATTATTCATAGTATGTAGTCTTGACATATAACTTCAGAATGAAAAGGAGGTCATCCATGAATCACAATAAAATGATGTAATCTATTTTGCTTTAAGTGTAGCATAAAATAGCTACAAAGCGCTCGAGTTGTCTGAGAAGGTGGTAAATTGTCCAAACAGTGGCCAAGTTCTTTGAATCAAAGGTGATTGTCAATGTGAATTGTTCTACAGGAGAGCTGTCTTAGGGGTGACTTGTCCAGCATTGTAGTGCACGTGCAAGCTGATTTTACAACATATTATCTGGTTATATATTTCCTTAGCTTATATATTCAGTGTGGACCCTGAGGTTCATAAACTTCAGACTGAAGTTTAATAATTGACTGTAAAGAAGGTTAAACTCCCCATCCCCACCCTAACAATAATTCACTGACATTGTATCTACTTATTTAGTTTAATGAATGTCTCCAATGCCTACATCATAACTGAACAAAGCCAGATATCTATAGACATGATGACCATACTTAGAAATGTAAAATGAATTCAGTCAAAACACATATTATCAACTTACATACATAACTTTGATGGATAGTTATTATTATACTTGTACAAAGTGGTCATCTAATGATTCATCATCAGTTATCATACATGTAGATACTGAGTTGGGATATATTAATGAAAATTAGTCGAAGGGAATCCTTCTATAACCACAAAATATGATGAAAAACTGCTTTAAATTCATAATTAATTGCAGAGAATTTTAATTTAATAAACACTTAAGCACTTATTTGGAAAAAATCACCAGTAGTCCTAAATTATATGAAAAAAGTCAGTGCTTTTTAGTGTTATAAACACAATAGAGGAAATTCGCGTCACAACTTTGTTTCGAATTAGCATTAGACTTGTGTGATCAAGATTTAAATTTATTCGTGCTTACAATGAACTTATCGCTAATAAAATAAGATAATTATTCTTATTTTATCTTTTAAAACACTGTCTTACTTACAATAAATCGACTTTACAAATCATAATACATGCCGATTCCGGATTCGTATGCGGTTGCCTATTGCCTAATAAAAGTTGGATGCCGATCTCGACGATTCAAAATATAATTCCTCGTATGATTCTGTTGTTGCCTTTTTTCAATAAGAGGTTATAAACTGTCTAAATATTTAATTTAATTAGTCAAATTGTCCAACTTCTCACGTAAGAGATGAAGATAAACGAAGCCCACATGCCGATCGCGATGTCAATTAAGAAATGACCATACACTTATTTTCAGGATTTTTGAAGTAAATATTGAATAAACAGAATTGTTCCAGAGTGTTATAACTTTTTTTGCTTCAAAATGTTTCATTTTAAACACCAATAACATCTATATTACGTGGTTATAACTATCTTTGGGTATAATTATACGAGTGGCGAATTGCAAGGCTACCGCTTGGGATTTCTATTTTTAGAGCGACTCTGAGCACTAGCGACAGTTTTCACTGGTACACCGGATGGGGTTTTTGAATACGTATAAGAAAATTTAAAGAATGGAATTAGTAAGGCTACTCTGCTACTGTTGTACTAGATAGCTATCGATATCATTATTATTAGGAAGTAAAACTTGCTTTGTCTGTCCACATGCAATTGTTGTTTACTGCTTACTAGTGAACAATCATTCAACACGATTGGTCAGTATTGTCAGTGGTATTGCTGGGTTCTGTTTTTCATATGTAAAATAGTATTGATTCCATTGAAATCAAATATCCAATCGATGAGTAATATGATAATCAGCGTACAAAATTTTAGCAGTCACCATCAAGCAAACTGTCACGCTATTAGTAAATCGATAATATATATAATTTAGCAATGTCTACAAGGGGTCATTGACATAGAAAATCTTGTTAATTCCAGCAAATGGCAAACCCCGTGAAGATCATGCTGCAATTAGTCCTGCACTTGGTGAGAGTTTTGCTTCTCCTATTATGGCGGCCAATAAAAGGAATGTTGGGGAACTTCATTCCGTCTTTACGGATATTTTATAGATGAACAATAAACTGTTCTCTTTTCTATTGTTGTAAGATTGTCTGCCTGTTTTTATCAAGTCTATAAATGTACACAATGCAGAATTATACACTATATATTTGTATACAGGTTATGTTTTGTCTTATTCATGACCACCGTAAACTTCAAAATATAATATTTCAAAGTTTAGGTAGCTAGACTGCTTTAGTACATGTCAGTAGAGCTCTTTGACCATGAAAAAGACGATTACATATCCCTGAGAAGGAGTCAAAGATTTTACACAAAATTCCATTTTTATAATCTTTATTTATAATAAAGTGTTGATTCATAAGGAAACATACTTTCTATTGAACATGGGTGTTTTATTTTAACGTTTTATCATTTGAATTCAAATTGCCTTTATTTACCTTTTCCTATATTGCTGTTGCTGAAACAAATGATTTAAGATAGTACACAATAGATAGACCAAAATTTTCCTCAAATTCAATTGTTTTGAAACTTTGATGTTTTGTTCTAGCATACAAATATGAAAGAAATTCAACCGCACATTTTTGCCCACATACTTTCTCCTATATAACTGCACATATTGAAACAAATAAATAAAATACATGTAGATAAATAAAAAGTGAGCGGGTTCTACTCCGCTTAAACACGCCAAAAGAAGAAAATTGGAACTTGATTGCCAAAATATTACTTTCATCTCTTTTTATAATCACAAATTTTATTCATACTGTCAATTATAAACTATATACATTTCAAAAATACTTCGTTGCACTTATGTTTTACATTCCATCTTTCCCTTATGCATTAACTCGCATAATATTTCATCTAAAACATGATGGGGGTAAAAGCATTTATAAATATAACATGACAATTGATGATTTTATTCATTATTTGTTCAATTTCAGATAAAGATTTAAATGAATAAATTATCTTTAATGATTTAATTTATTTATATAACTATATATGAACATATGGGCAAAAGGCCAAGATCAAAACCTTGAAGATGGTTAAGATACACCCCTAAAAGACTCTTGTCACCCTCACTAAATATGTTCTACCTAAAGCACTGATGAAAAAATAAGAACAACTGGTATCATAACTTGGAACAGAAGTATAAAAAATGGTTACCAATAATTATGTGTCCAGTAGTTGAAGAATATCAGTAACATGTATGGAAAGCGAGGAATAGTTAATATAGATATCATGACCAAATTATGGATAGCTTTATATCATTATAATTATAGTATTATACATTCCACATACGTGTTGCGCCGTCAAAACTTAAAATTTTGGACATCAGTACAAATCTTAGAATGATAAGAAATAAATCATTTAAAACAATTCACCTCATAACTTCTTCGTAACTAGGAGGTGATTGAAACTGGTTAAAGACAACTGTTTCGTAGGATGGGGGTGGTTCGGGACTAACTGGGTAATTTTGGACATTGTTGTTAATGTGTTCGTCTGTATTTGTAGCTTGATTGAATGGAACATCAAGTGTAACCGGCGGGGTTGATACGTGTTCTGTGTTTGTCCTTTCATTGTTATTACCTCTAACAAAGAATCTTATACGTTCACAAGCTGCAGAGCATTTTGACGTAATCACATCTATACAACATGTACAAGTACATGATTCCAGACACTGATCACAAGAGCAGTCACAATGTCTCAACCTAAACTCACGTATTTTTCTGATGAAATCACGTCCAAATTTGAAACAAATAAAAAAGAGCACAACAATTAAAACAGATCCGAACCAACCACTCTCAAAATAACCGTCTTCAGAATCAGGCAAAGGCGTTGTTATGTTAAAGAATTCGACAGCCGTCTTCTTCATATTTACCTATAATGATACAATATGTTAGTCACAAAAATCAGGGGAAAAAGCTTTTTTAATTTCACGAAAAAATGAAAATAATTTAGGTACAAACGTTATTAAATACAGAATACTAGAACCCTCTTCACACATTACACATTGTCTAGGATTAAATACTAGGAATACTTATTTTTTTTCGCAAAGAGAGTTCTTAGTAATTAAATAAATTTTTATTGTTTGTCTTCTATTTTTATGCAACAAGTACTCTTTCAAGTCAGAGTGAAGAAAGTGTTTATTTTACAGGATCTGCTAAAAAAAATTTCGTTATACAAATTTTATATATTGGATAAAAATTACCATGTAAATAGTCTACAAGTTTTATTTAACACAACCCATCAACTTGATTCCATTTTTAATTATATTTTTATGGTTTTTTTGGATAGTATACATCAGAGGGAAATTTTGCACAATTTCCGAGTTTTGCCAGTGTTTAGCAGCACGGAATGTTTAACACTCTTTTTCCTTTAGATTTGAGAAAATGTCTTTTGTCATTACAATATACATTATTGATTGGAAATACCTGTTAGAATCTTAAAGGAATAGAAGATCCCAAAAGCTAAGGTGCCCTTCTCCATCTTTTGTTCAAATGTTTTATATCATGTATAAAATCCCTCGACAATTCACAAAGATTTGAGCTTTCTTTGCTAGATTACTTATAATCTGCACCATGAATTAAACATTTAAAGTGTTTATGTGATATTTCCATGTTATACATGTATTTATATTCAGATAAATACTGTACAGCTAAACTTTATGTTACAGCAATAACTAATGGTGTTATACACTCACGAACAGACTTTCAATGATACTTTAATTACATATTATTCGTCCAACGAAAGGGAATCGAATCATGGACGTAACTATAGTCCAGAACACCCTGACGTACTTCTGACATGAAATTCTATGCCGTGTTTATGATATAAATAGAAAATCATTTAAATGCCTGTTAGAAAAGCAATTGACAACGTCAGAAGAAAGCTTACTTTACCTTAACACACTAAATACAAGTTGTACACAATGTGAAAACTAAGCAGACGTGGGTAAATGGATTGATAGCATCGAATTGTATATCATGTAAATCATTCCTCTTTATTTATGTGATCTAGATAACCTATAAATCTACATAACTATCATACTTTATAATTTCAGTAATTTGAAGTAGGCTTCAAGAGTTATGAAATGTTTAGATTGTGAGTTTAGAAAAATCTTCCCTATAAACAATAAATATCTAGTGCACAAAAACTTAGTCATAAGTTATTCAAGTTAGGGAAATGTCACGGTATTTCTTGTATATCTTATAAATAAATATTTAAAATAATAAATTAATTAATTAATAATGAATAAATAAGGTAGCGGGTTCTACCTCGCTTTTATCCTCCAGTGAAGAAGAAAATTGGAACCTGATTGAAAAATATTACTTTTATCTAATCACAAATTTCATTCATGCTGTTACCTAAATACATACTGATTCCTAAATGTTCATACAACATTACACTTCATGTTCCTTTAGCATTAACTCAGACTTTATTTCTTCTAAAACATGATGTAGGTAAAAATATATATGTACAAAATATAACTGACAATTAATGAATTTTATTGTTTGAATATTATTATTTTTGGAAATATTTCTTTATTCTTTTGAATTGCTTTATTAAAGCTTTAAAAGGTTTGAATTGCTTTATTAAAGCTTTAACTTTTTGTGTTTGTAAAAATAAACTTTGCTCGGATATATCGATTTTATACCGCTTTACACAAACAAAGTTGCCCAATGAGTACAAAAAAAGAGTTACAATATAAATTTCTTAATTTATAATTCCATTTATTTGATTTAGGCTCCAGAGAAATGAAATATTTAGAATGTAAATTAATAATAATCTTCCCTATGAACGGAAAATATCTCGTGCAGAAAAACTTAGTTATTAGCTATTGAAGAAAAGGTTCACGATGTGTCTTTTTATCATATTTTCACAAGCACATACACAAAAATATTCTTAATACCAATTCAAGTAACAACGTTCAATGAAATCAAAATCCAATGAAAAGAATTATGTATCTAAGTGTAGTCCATTTCTGTACTAAGTATCAACATCGTTTACTGAAATCAAAAACCGATATACAGAACTATGTATCTTATTGTAGTGTACCAGTTATATCGAAATCGGACCAAAACTGTAGGAGGAGCAATATTTTGAAAGAATTTTATTTATTTTTTATTTTTAGTAAATGTGGCGATATCATTCATAGATATCATAAACCAATTAACAACCTATGTTTAATCTTGATAAAAATCTAGATATTTTCCCCAAAAACCTAGTGTTACACAGAGAAAATCAAATATATATGTGGTTACTTGTTTTAAAATATTTCAAGTTGAATGTAATTAAAGCATATTTCAAATTATGTTTGTAAAAAACAAAAATGCGAAACGTAAATTGTGCTTCACTGAAGACAAAATATTTAAATTTTGCATAGAGGCTATCAGTATTCTGTACTCTGTCAGTGAAACTATTTCTTATAACTGTTAGTTATAGTAGACTTTATTTACGTCTCTATTTATTCCAGGAAAGGAAACCTCTGAAGGATAAAAGGTGATAAAAAATAAACTTCTGACATCTTGTTCTGGGAACATTCGGCAAACCTCGGCTGATTCCGTCACCTTCATCAAACCTCGGCTGTACGAGGAAACTTGATATGCGTCTCCGTTTAACATTTGTGATAAGGCTGCCTGTTTACCGCTCAGGGAAAACATATCGCTTTGAAAACGATAATAAACATGCATCTGATATACGATGAAAATTTTCAAAAGCATATAGGTTACACTAAGAATAACACTTACCAAGAAAAATGCACTTAGTATCTTTACATAATCACATGTTTGTTAACGGATCGAATTCAGCACACTGTGCATGTGTAAATGTAGGGCGCAGCCATATTGCGTATAAAGTAGCTCCGGTTCAATGGAGGTTTACATGATACAGCCGAGGTTTGATGAGGTACGAATCGGCCGAGGTGTGCCGAGTGGTTCTGGGAAGTGAATTTTAAAATTTTACAGTGTAAAGGAATAGACACCATTAACAAAAACGCAAGTTTTCTTTACAGGGAAGGGGGGGGGGGGGGGCTTGCTACACGCAGACACATACATATGTATGCTAAATCTCTCTATTATGAGAAAGAAGAGAAAGTATGATGTACCTGTAGATTAATATCTGTTATGGATAAATTATTGACTGATTGTGGATACCATGTATGGATCACTCGCAAAGAACTTTTTTCGTTCGCTGCGAGGCGTCAAACCTATGACGTACATACATGTTTATATCTCTCAGTTGATTCGATACGCCAGAGCATGCTCTACGCATGAACAATTTCTAAAACGAGGTAAGTTATTGACAAACAAGTTGATGAAACAAGAATATCAGCAGTCTCGTTTAAAGTCATCATTTTATAAGTTCTATGGTCGATACAATGACCTAGTCAGCAAATACAATCTATCATTAAGTCAAATGCTGACTGACTTTTTTCATACTAATTGTTAGGCCAATATTTACACACTGAATTGTCGACGGATTTTTTCGTTACTTCCCGATCATGACAAGGAGCACACGGCGGGTGTGACCGGTCGGCAGGGGATACTCACTCCTCCATGGCACCTGATCCCACCTCTGATGTCTTGGAGGTCCGTGTTTGCTCTGCTCCTATTTTGTAATGTTTAATGGACTTTTGAGCTCGAATACTGTTCGTTATCTCCACATATTTTATGTATAGGTAGTGACTGTTCCTTCGCCAAGTGCCCGACACTACAAGTGAAAGTCACGGAGTCTTTTTCAAGTCTTTCAGATGAGACCTTAAAAAACCGAGTTTCCATGTCACGGTAGGCGTTGGTACGATAAAGAATCCTCACTGCTCAATGGCCCTGAGTGCCGAGTAAAGGTCAAAATTTCAAGCCCTTCACTGGCATACGGTGACATCTCTATATAAGTGAAAAAATTCTCGAATGGGACGTAAAAACGATATACAATCAATCAATACAATTACGTGTAGCATCATCATTATTATACATGGCATTAAAAATGATTGTTTTGTCATCAATCACAATATTGATGCATCCATAGACCCATAAACATGAAAGCTGGTACATGGTAAACATTTAAAGTTTTATTTAATAACTTCATCGTAACTCGGAGGTGGTTGAAAAAGGTCAAAGACAGCAATGTCGTAGGATGGGGGTGGTTCATAATTTACTGAGTGGTTTTCAACATCGTTGGTAATGTGGTGTTCCTCAGAGTTTACAAGAGATTGAGTAGAGTGTATCTCAAGTGAAAGTGCCGGGGTTAAAATGGTTTCAGAGTCTGTCCTATTACAGTCACTATCACAGACAATTTCATAGGATGGGGGTGACACAGAAATATTTGGGAGGGCTTCAACATCGGCACTTATATTGTGTTCGTCTATTCTTGTGGATTGATTAGATAACAACTCAAGTGTACCTTCCTGAGTTGAAACGTGTTCAATGTCTGTTCCTTCAACGTTTCTATTTGCGACACAGAATCTCAAACGTTCACAAGCTGCAGAGCATTGTGACGTAATCCCATCTACCCACGTACAAGATTCCGCACACATATCACATAAAAACCTAAAGAACGGTATAATATAGTGACCATATTTACCACAAGCATAAATGAGCACAAAAAATAAAACAGATGCGAACCAGCCAGGATTAAAATCACCGTCCGTCATTGGTATCGACCAGAGGAAATCTGAACTTGACAAATCTAAAAGTCGTCTTCTTCATGTTCACCTGTGTTTAAATAAGAAACAAGAAATCAATTAAAAACGCTTTAGGTCAGATGACATGTTCACCAATATAATACAATTTTTCCAAAACTTTGCCTTTGAGGTATTGCTACTTAACAAGCTTCCTCACAAAAATATTGAGATAATGTACCTACCAGGCAGTTGTGCAAGATACCAGAGGATGGTTCCTTCATAACCTTAGAGAAATCACTTGAATTGCTAAAATCACACTATTGGTCTATTTATTTTTTAAGACAATTAAAAGCAGTGTAGAAATTACAAGATGTTGTAAAGCAGGCCTCATACATGATATTAGCTAATTAGTTAAAAATTACGTCATCTGAGTATTCCCAGTGCGCCTTAGCCTGCAATAACGTTAACAATATTTTGGCAAGTACAACTATATTTTACTGCCTTTTCTGTCGGAGAGCAATTTTAACGAAAAACTGGGTATAATCATTCACTTTAGATAACCCTCTATGTTTTTTTCTATGCAATGTTCATTCTGCTCCTTGAAATTTTGCAATTAACTTCCTTTCCTTCCAGGTCGATTTGGATAGATCTATGCACCTCCAAATCCAAGATCTATTGATTGATTTTTTTAACAATCCGGAAGATACATGTAATCCCCCTATGGTCCCAAGTACCTATTAAATTTTGTGCTTTGAGCCTTTTCTCTTCTGGAATAGGAAATACCTCAATTGATAAAAGGATAATAAGTACAGGTATATGGAAATGAGATATATGTCCTCCAGAAGAGAACACCATATGCTAGTATTCCTTTCTGTTCAAGAAAATAATAGACTTAATCAAAGAGGTACATGTATTATTTATGATAATTTAGAGTAAAACCACTTGGCATACCTCTGTATTACTAACAGCTTACCATACCTCTGTATTACTTAATAATTCGTGTCACAACACGTACAAGTGCCTTGGTGTTTCCCAATCCCTACAAATTTGTCCATATAGTATGATACAGAAATGTTTTTAATCGTGTATACTCACAGTATGCCATTTAAACTTCAGTAAAGTAATTTCTCCAATTAAAGCCAATAAAATCAAAAACATAAATATATAGAACTCTACGACTCAGATCCAACATGGATATCAATATTTCGAACAAGTCGTGATATAAATAGAACAAAATTTAAATGTCTATGAACATGATGAATGACTTTATATATATTTCAATGTTAAACATGCCTTCTGTAAGCGATGTCAATTAACCTTCTCCTTAAGGGGAAGAAGGCCTTTAGCTGAAAAAAAAATCAATTCGATTGACATTCAGTTTTTTTCATATATTGTATATTACGAATTTAGTATGTCCCACAAATCCTAAAGCAGTTAAATCATTGGGTTTCTTGAATTATTTTAGATATACTGATTGACAAATACCATGTCTTACAGTGTCTAAGTGGAGTTTTGATTCTCCATGTTTACAGGCCGATTATTCTGTCCATAATAGGGATTTTTAAACAAAAAAATATGTATATGTTAATGTATCTTTTAAAATATTTCAGAATACAAATAGGATTTAAAGTTTGAAAAGTTTTTTTTATCACACTGCATCTTGATAGAGAAAATTCAATATTAGAAAATTTATATTGAAACTAAGATCCTTCATTTTATTGATTAACTGTAAAAATATCGAAAGGTGAAGCTTACCTCAATATTGCACATGACATCGTTAAACAAGACATAAGCATGATAAAAACGTGTCATGTTTACATATCTCGAGTACGGGAAAACCAACTATGACGTCACACGTAAGCTAAATAAGCGAAATAAGATGTATCTGCATAAGATTTCTGTCATCAACCATGTGAATTTTTATGTTCCCTATTTCAAAAAATACCTCACCATGTGCTGATTATGACCTGTTTTTACGAAATTATACTATCTGTGTAATCACCGAGTATGATCTTGCTGTACTAACAGCAAGATCATATGTATGACGTCACCATCTTGTCGGACGCACAGTGTAGGAAAACAGAGGAGAGAATCAATCTTTTTCATTTTTTTAATTTAAGTATTGAATCATTATTTTTTTAAAGATAAAGCATATTACTGCAACAGTGTGTGCAAACAAATCGAGTAACGCGCCTTAGCGCGTTATGAAAATTTGTTTGCACATACCGTTGCAGTTATGAGACTATATCTTTCAAAAAATAATGATTCAATGCTTATATTTACATTTTTAACTCCTTGCCTTGACTGTAAATGTGATTTATATTTCAAAATCCCTATATTATCCTTCGGGTAAGTTACAATTAATGGAAGAGCCGTTGCAACAGCTTCTGTTAAATGTGAGCGTGAATTTTGATTTTCGCTTATGACGTTGCACTTTTACGACGTTCAACGTTTGTGACGTCAAAATAAAACGCATACTTTAACCTTTTGACTCCTTGTCCATGTTATGGTGTTTTGAATGTCGTAGCTTTCCTCACACTTTATAAGCAAAATACATATGGAATGTAAATATTTGTTAATGTTTACAAGAATGTTAAAACTTTTAATTTTTTTTTATATAAGATGGTGAAGTAAAACAAACTGTTTCATGATAGCTAATAAATTGTTTATAATGAAAAACTACTAAAAGTCTAGAGAATTTTAGCTTTCAATATCTTGGCGTTTTATTGAACGCTGAGTTTGTATTACGTAAATGAGTATGTCCGAGACATTCCGAATACGAGCGTTCAATTTTGAACGCCCTGTTGTAAACAAAAAATGTTGTCTGAGGCCATCATTAAAAATATCTTTGTTTCCCCTAACCCGACCCAAAAATCTCAAGTTGGGTAGGTAGGTAGGCAATTTTTTTTTTTTTGACAGCAGCTTTGAAAATACATTCTTAAAATGAAATGGAATGATACCTTTATAAATAAGTTAAGTACAAAAGAAAGCGATTTGTAAACAGCAAGAATACCATACAAATGCCGGTAAGACTAACATTTAAGGTAAATTAATTCACGACTATTGTTCAGACGAAGTTGTGCAATATCTCATACCAGAGTAAATTTGTTGAAATTGAATCCATCTGTTTAAAAGATTCTCGGGTACGCAAAGACCGGACATCCGAGGATTTTTTTCATACATGTACTATCAGCTTCCAGTGCTTACACATGCAATGTACTTTTTCAAGGGCTTCGAATTGTGCAGTGGTTCTAGAGCATTAATTTCGTTTTGGAATCTCGAAGGAGCTATTTTTAAGTTGCAGGTTCAAATCCCTATGCGGGACATTGAGACCCGTTCTTCGAATGAGACCATAAAAACTTAGGTCCAGTGTCGCAGTAGATACTGGCACGAAAGGATCTCTCGATCACTGCTCAATGGCCTAAAGTGCAGCATACAAGTCTAAATTTGGAGCCCTTCACCAGACAAATGTTTAAATAAATGTTGTTATCCCAATAATTATCAAAGGAATTCAAATCAAAGAAACAACCAATCTTCAAGGGCCTTATTAAAGAAAAATACACGGACGTCTCAGGAAGCTTGTCTCATAATTTCAAATCTATTTGGAAAAAAGTATGTTGACTATAATTAATTGAGACAATCCATATCTAAAAATGATAAAATGTCAAAAACAATGTCAAAGTCATGAAGTTTAACCCATGAATAAAAGGCATGAAGAAAGGAAGTTTGAATTCTATTCATTAGGATGAAATTTGAAGAATTATTTACAACTCTTATGGTCCCATATACATGTAGTAAACATAGGAATATTGATGAACTGTTTATAAGATCAAAACTCAAATTGAATAAAATGCAGTGAAATTGATTGGTTTGTTCACAAGGCGAGCCCCTTGTCTGCTCATGAGGGGTATCATGAGGAGGGCCTATATGGGCCTAAGCACTTAATTTTAAGACAGGTTGGTAAATACAACCGAAACACGCTTAATAGGTCATTGTATATTTTATTTTATTATAAAAGTGTTTCAAAGAGTGTAGGATTCTTATATGCTAAAGACATAAGGTTGAGATACGTCGTCTTTACTTTTAAACCATGAACTAACCCTCCGTAACCGAGACATGTTGTGGGCGCCATTTTGTTTCCAACAAACATGAAAATCATAGAACAAAATCAGTCGTTCTGATAAAAACGGATTTTGATGGAATTCTATTTTATAAAAGTTGATAAATATAAAAAAAATATTGGAAAAATCTTATGAAAAAAAACTTACCAGTCGGCGCGTTTTAATTAGATCGGTCGCGTTAGGGGAAAGAAAGGTAATTTTTATTTTGGCCTGATCAACCTCTCAAAGGCATACTTATGATAGGTATTGGCAGATAAGATGTGTTTATTTTCACGCAAAATTGAAATTATTAATCAATAATTTAGTACGTAAGTATTAGCCTCAATAAAACCTCATTAAGCATATCATCACGCTTACAAGACAGACGTTAATTCAAATACCAATACTGAAAATTTTTATCAATATGAGTTATTTAGCTGAAATATTGGCGCTGGTTAACATATCAAAGGCAAATTTATGATAGGTAGTGGCAGCCAGGTAAGATGTGTTTATTTCCACACAAAACTGAAATTATTTATAAATAATCCAGTACGTATAAGCCTCAATAAAACCTCACTAAGCAAACCATAACGCTTGGTAGGGTCATTGGAATGATGCGATATTGAACATTCACATGACAGAACGACCAATATAAGTTCAATAACCCCCCTATAATATATAGTTACATACATTTATCATCTCCAAGATATATATGTTCAATTTTTAATCTACGCTAAAAATGAGTTATCTTTCCACTTGTATGTATTTTAAATTAACTTTGGAATATATATCATAATCATTTCGTTGCCATCACATCAAAACCTTCTCTAGAAGTACATTGTATAAAACAATAGTAAGTAAAAAGACAATCTGAGTGCAGAATAATCCATCTCTTAAATTACCATTATGAACAACCACAACATTGTTTAATCAAGTAAACCTTCATTTCATGATTTCCTCATAACTAGGAGGTGATACAGAAGGATGGATAACAATGTTATTGTAGGAACGAGGTAGGACTTTATTGACTTTGTTTTCTGGAAAACTGCTGTGGTGAGATGAGGATGGGGATGCCGGTGTGACGACAAGGGATGGAATTTCCTCTCTTTGTATTGTGTTACTTTCGAGCCAAGCTAAAACAAGACTGGATCTCGTTTGAATTGTGTCGGGAGGTTGGGATGGGTACATAACAGAAGATGAACATTCCTCATTGTGAGTTATGTGATTTTCGATTCTCACAGAAACTTGATTGGATATCCTCCGAATTGTACCTCCTTGCGGAGATACTGTTGCGATGTCTGCATTTTCCCTGCTGTTGTCAAATAAGCATGTTATTAAATTGCCACAACCCGCAAAACACTTTGACTTTAAATCAACTATAAAACATGTACATGTACACGACCTGGGTGATGTTCCATTTAGATTGTGTGAACGCTTAGAGTTTTTACAGTGTTGCGAAATGCAGGCAAGAGCAATGACAGTTATAACAACTATTCCAAACACAGTGTAACCTGAAATACCGTTCTCTGATTTTGGCACTGATGTTGTGATATTCACCAACTCTGGTGTTGCCTCGATCCATAGCATTAATCTGGTTTATAATAGGAAAGTTTTCCACAAATGTATCTGAAGGTCTTGAATTAGGAATTTAAACAAGTAATAAAAAAAAACAAGAAATTGTCTGATAAGAATCACAATTCCTTGAAAATAGAATTAAGATTCCTTAAATGCGTGGACTTGTTTAGCCGTTTATTGTTAGTTTGTCTTTCCTCTGTTTTCACTTTTGTCCAGGACATCCTGTGACGTCCTGTAACGTCCTGTGACATCCTGTGACGTCCTGTGACATCCTGTGACGTCCTGTGACATCCTGTGACGTCCTGTGACATCCTGTGACATCCTGTGACGTCCTGTGACATCCTGTGACGTCCTGTGACGTCCTGTGTTTATTATATAAGAGAAATTAGGCAATCATTTTGATATATGTACTGTGAAATGCAGTAAAGGGATTAAAATTTAATTTTACTCACTTTTTTCAGGTTGACTGCAAAATCTGTCTGATTACATTGCACTTCCCACAA